TTAAAATTTATCCTGCGTGTATGTGTGTATGCACGCGTGCGTGTGTATATATACATACATAAAGAACAGATCACGAAATATATTTTCATCCTATATAGAGGACATCAAACATGTTTTATGTATGTTTCACTGATAATTTCATACATTATGCATATACAAATGACAGAGAGAAAAGTAGAACTAACTCTTATTATTTGTGATCGCTTTTTTATGGTTGGGAAAAAAGTATACACTTTCTTTTTATCAAAATGTTTTATTATTTATATTATGTGTACAATGTAACTGTACATAAAAGGAATGGACCAACGCGATCCCTGATCCTAGTCGAATAGACCTGTAATTAAATAATAGATTGCGATTAACATAGAACTAGTTATATCCATCGAAAAGGATGATTAATTTTTACTGTATTCTCATTTTTTAAATATTGTCATCATGTATACTCTGTAGCTAATACATGCTATATTAATCACTGAATATTTGTTATGATTTTCTTTCAGGGTTAGCAAAATTTCATTTTTTTTTTATAAAATCCATGCCGGTGGTAAAAACCAGTATTTACAGATTTTGGCAGAAAATACCGACAAAAACTGTTCTGTTAAAAGCAACAAAACAAACATAGAAAATTTTGTTATCGATATTTTTCAGTATCTTATTATCATTATTCTACTTCAGCGTCAATTGAGTGTTTTCTAAATTTAAGCTTTATTCAAAATTAATGATAATAGATTGGGAATCTATGTTTAATCACTTTCTTGAGATTTAAATAATATAAAATTGATGTAAATTTGATAAATTACCAAAGCCCATATCATCGTCTGATTCTTCTTCTGGTTCTTCCTTCTTCTTTTCTTCTTTAGCTGGAGCAGCTTCAGTGCTAACGGGTGCCGCTGCAGCTGGAGCTTTAAAAGGGCAAAATAAAAATATTTTTCATACAAAAATAATAATTAAAAAGATTAGATATATTTGCCTGAATAAATCATTCAAACAATACAAATTTATATTGCATCATATTATAAACGATATTCTAATAAACACTGTAATTTTTCTATATTTTTTATGTTGTTAACAAAACTTTCAAGATTACATCTTTATCGATAAAATCAGAAAGTTCGTTATCAGTTTCCTTTGACCTCTTTTGCTAACCGAGCTAGCAATTTAAAACTAGATCGGTGGATGAAGAGGTTAAGATATACAAGTTTTTCATAACTTATTTAAGAAAAGGAGGCGGAAATCAAAGGTATGATCCCGGACAGTCAAGCAGAATTTAGAAGAGGAAGGTCAACGCTGGATAATTTTTTTCATACTGACGCACTTGATACAAAGGGAAGTAAATCAGGAAGAAGGAAAGAGAAAAGTATATATGATATTTGCGGATTTAAAAGCTGCTTTCGATAAGGTAGATAGGAGTAAACTTTGGGAGATACTTAGAGACAAAGAAGTAAGTGAATATTTAGTAAAGAAGATAGAAAATATGTATGAAGAGACGGAGGTGAGGATAAGAACGAAGCAAGGATACACCAAACAATTTAGAACAACGAAAGGAGTAAAACAAGGCTGTGTGATGAGTCCACTTCTGTTTAATTTATACATTGCGGATATAGATAAGGAATTAGGGAAAAGAGGGATAGGAGGAGTGAGATTAGGTAGAGACAGGATATGGTCGTTAGCATACGCGGATGATTTAGTTTTGATAGCACATAATAGAGAGATGTTACAGGATATGATGAACATGCTCAAAAGATTTTTAGAGGGGAGGAAACTTGAGTTGTGTACAGAAAAGACGAAAATAATGATGTGTGGAGGGAGTGGGAGAAAAAGGAAAGAGAAATAGAAATGGAGGAATAAGGAGTTAGAGGAGGTGCAGGAATTTAAATATTTAGGATATATTTTAGACAGAAAGGAGAATTATAAAAAGCATATTAAAGAGTTAAGCAAAAAAGGAAATATGGTGGTAAGAAAAGTGTGGGGTTTAGGAGAAAAGTTATGTAGAAACGATTTTAGAAGGAGATGGATGTTATTTAAATATTTAGTACAGAGTGTAATGGCTTATGGGGTAGAATCACTCTATGAACATATAATTCAAGCACTAACTGCAGAAACTCACATAAATATTTTTATTTGTATTTATTAAAAAAAGATTTGCCACTTAATTATTTATTCCCGAATTCAATTTTAATAATTATAAACGGAATTTACTTATATATATATATACATCAACAAATAAAACGATATTTCAAAACATATCAAAACATTTACTTAATCTTGCTGTATTTTGTAAAAAATAATATAAAACGAACATAATTGCAATTAATAATTACAATTAATGTTTACAAATAGATTACCAATAGAAAAGTACATGTGTTACCTGCTCCTACAGGTGCGGCTCCGACACCGGATCCGATGTTGGTGATCAATTCCTTAACATTTATGCCTTCTAAAGCTTTAGCGAAAAGTCCAGGCCAATAAGATTCAACATTTACATTGGCTGCTTTTAAAATTGTTTGTATTTTTTCACCCTGTGAAATTGAAATATATTAATTCAGGAGACAATATACTGATAATAAATTACATTTATTTTTCATTTTGTTTAAAATCAACTTTCACATTCTATAATTGAAGGTAAAAAATAGGTCAGAAATATAATTCTTTATTTCTAAGTTCATATAAAAACACTAATCATTAAAATTTGAAATTGAATTTAAACTGCGTTTGGTTTTGACGCTTTCAGCGTTTCTCACGCTGTTTTACATCTAATGAACGATAAAAACAGAACAATAAGTGCTTAAAGCGCATAAGCGTCCAAACCTTACGCAGCCTTGAGCTTTAACTTTATTTTTACCGATATTTTTAATATAAACGAACACGTGTAGAATCCAGTAAACTGAGAGGTTAGTAGACGCAATAAATCGAAACGATTTTGTCAAAAGGAGATATAATACAGATGATAAAATTATTTAATAAACAAACATGAAAACGTTAATGGAATACACCGATAATGGAATATATACCAGTAAAATGGAACAAAAATAATGTAAAGGTGATAAACCCGCGTGACGATATATTTTATACTTACAGTTACGGCGATATCATCGTCAACGAGTATCAACGCAGAGTAAACGCACGCAAGCTCGGCCTCGGTCGTCATTTTCTTTGTTTGGATTTAATTACTTAGAAACGGATGGAACTTAAAATTGGTGTAAGTCGTCGACAAGACCTTAGCTCTACGAGAGAGAACAAACACCCAAGTTCGCAACTTCACCGGAAACGAAAGAGGATTTTACCGGATATCACGTGATAAAATAAACGTGGTAACTGAACATGATAAGCCGATATTTCATGTGTCGCTCGGCAAGACTTTTCAAGCCTGTTGATTGGCTGCAGAACAGAGAGATCCTCTCTATTCCGCAGCCAATCAACAGGCTCGAAAAGCCTTAAGGCCATCACACGTACAAAAATTTTAGACGTGATCGTAAGATCGCAAGCAAATCGACCAATCACAATCAAAATTAAGATCTCGCGTTTTTAAATGCTCAACTGTGATTGGCTGATTTGCTTATGGCCTTACGATTACGACTAAAATTTTAGTCGTAAAATACTATAGTATTTTCCTAGTTTTTCGTATACGTTTCTTTTCAAGAATAGAGCCCCAGGCTAATCATTTCAAGGTGCGTTCCGAAACTCAGATCCGTCAACTCCGAGTATTATTTATTCTTGTTCACAATGGCTGCGTTCAGCAGACTCAACAGTTTTGCAACCGTTTTATGATTGTCTGCTGAGATAGGACCATTCTTCTAGATCTAAAAGTATGATCCAATTAGCGCGAAGGAAACTTCCAACAGTTGTAAAACAAACGTTCTGCTGAACGCAGCCAATCATAAAACGGTTGCAAAACTGTTGAGTCTGCTGAACGCAGCCAATCATAAAACGGTTGCAAAACTGTTGAGTCTGCTGAACGCAGCCAATCATAAAACGGTTGCAAAACTGTTGAGTCTGCTGAACGCAGCCATTGTCTGCTGAGATAGGACCATTCTTCTAGATCTAAAAGTATGATCCAATTAGCGCGAAGGAAACTTCCAACAGTTGTAAAACAAACGTTCTGCTGAACGCAACCAACGTTCGATGAACAACAAGGATAAAATGATACTTGGTTTGACAGTAAGGCCGGAATCAGACTACGCATTAAAGATTGAAGTTGAAGATTGAAGATTGAAATTTGACCAATAAGGACGAAGAAATTTTAGCTCCTTTCATTTCGATTGGTCAAATTTGAATTTTTCAATCTTCAATCTCAATCTTCAATACATAGTCTGATTCCGGCCTAACAAGAAATACCAAAAACGCATGCGCATGTGGCCATAGAGTATGAAAACGCGTCGCAATGGGTGCGTTCAGCAGAACGTTTGTTTTGCAACTGTTGTAAGTTTCCTTCGCGCTAATTGGATCATACTTTTAGATCTAGAAGAATGGTCCTATCTCAGCAGACAATCATAAAACGGTTGCAAAACTGTTGAGTCTGCTGAACGCAGCCAATATTTCGCAGGTGTGACAGAGTTCCTAACCTCGATAGTCGTTGAATTTAACGCTTAATATCTCGGTTCTCGGGGCAGGGCAATGCTTATTGCTGTCAGATTCTTTCGTTTTGTGCAAAAACGCGTCGTATAAGCTTAATCTTATTGATATTTTATTTATTGATAATTTTTTGAGCTGCTGTAGCGGAACTGTAGGTACAATTACCCTAACCAAAATAATTAAATACTTATATATATATGTCTACACGTATCGCCGAAATTAAGATAATTCAATAGAAAATTACTAATTAGTACCCGTATCAAGTATACGATGTAAACTAAGCCATTAGTTCATATCAATTTGATACGTGTACTAACCGATTTAACGGTGTAAAAGGGATCATTGTATAACCCCCATTACATTTACACTGAACTAGAGATTAAAAAAAAAAAACCGATACGTATAAATAACAATCGTCGACATTTCAGATATTAGGGAGTATGACTGACTCGGACATAGACTTTGAAGATGATTTCTTCTTTGAAGAGGATAAAATGTTGGTTATGTAGAAAATTGTGGATATTAATGTTTATTAGTTATAATTTATTATACTACATTCGTTATGCTATATTACAGCCTTAATATGCTTTCTTTTGGTCGTAAAATGCATGTCTAAATGTCACGGTGTGGTGGAAAAGTTTAACAAGCGATTCAATTATTCCAACCACATTTGCAAATATTAGCATGCTTCAAAGTTTCAACACATATCAACTTTGGATAAAGCTTTTATCGCTCTGACCACCATACCATCGGCTAGCATGGAAATGCACCAACTGGCTATGATGGAAGATCGCATGTACGCACTGTTTTTATATTATTTTTATATCGTATTATATTGATTTTTTTTATATTCTTATCTTTTTGCGTATCAAATTCAATGTTTTCCTTTTACACTGTTGCTTATTGGGACCTAGGCCAGATATAGAACTGGTCACGCAAGATCAATATATACAGCTGCAACTCGTCAATCTGTAAGTTTTGTTATTAAGCATTTTGTCATGAAAAAAACATTTATATTTTCAATCTATTATGTTAATATTGTAGGGAACTCAGTGAAAAACCAAATATAAATAAATTACTTAATATTAACCTTCGTGGTTGTTAATGCATTTATAATACATTATAAGGCGATAAGATATAATTTGTAAACTATTGGAATGTACTTACCAACAATTTGTACTTATCAATGAAAGTTGTTGGTAAATACATTCAAATTGTTTGCAAATTATATTTTATTGCCTTATAATTACATTATTGACATACAACTATGGAGACTCATACAGATAGTTTATATTTGATTTATGTTTATTCCTGAAACCAAAATATTTTTACTATTAATTTAATTCAGTAAAAAAATTAATCGAATACATATGACAATTTTTTTTTTTAATTTAAAAGCACTTAAAATTTTACACAGCATAAAATTATTGTTAAATATTTAACTTAAGACTCATATGTTAATAAATTTATAATGTGTTTAGATGTAAATGATTTTTAATAAGATATTTTATTTATTGTAATAAAAAACAAAAGAAAAGATTTTTCTATATTTTCTGTTTTATATTTTCTGTATGCAAAGAAATCAGCTATGCATTATTTATATAATTTTAATTATATATATTTAGTTATATACTATTTATACAATATAACATTATATACATATATTAGTTATGTACATATAAAATAAATAACATTTTCTCATTTAAAAAAAAAATTTTCATATTTAATTTTAATAATATTAATATATATTATATATTGATTATATGTTTAATATTTTTTCAATACTATTTTTTTGATACATAGAAGATTATGTATTATATGCTATGTGCATTATTACTAATTTAATGCTTAATTATGGATTTATTTGAATTTTATAAAACCTGAGAGAAATATTTTTCAATATTAAGATTAGACAGGACCGCTTATATGAATAAATCAATTAAGTACAAGAAGTGTCTGTTACAAAGTATTTTTGTATATTTAATAATTTTTTCTAAAAGATTTAAAATGCTATATATTTACAGTAAAGATCAATTATATGTTTTTTATAAATTTTCTTTAAATTTCAGGGGCATGACAATTACATCTGGGAATGTTGTAATACAGAAGGATACTAGTAATCTAATTGGTATAAGCATCGGCGGCGGTGCACCACTTTGTCCATGTCTTTATATTGTACAAATTTTCGACAATACACCTGTTGCTGTAGATGGTACTCTTCAAGCAGGAGACGAACTTGTGGCGGTGAATGGAGCATCAGTAAAGGGTAAAACTAAAGTGGAAGTTGCAAAAATGATACAATCTTGCGACTCACAAGTCAGCATTAATTACAACAAGTTACATGCTGATCCAAAACAAGGTCGTACACTCGACATCGCTTTAAAAAAGGTGTGTGCGTGCGTGCGTGCGTGCATACATATATATATATATATATATACACACACAGGGTCTTCAAAAAGTCTGGAAACGGTCGAATATCTCGAAAATGAAGCATTTTTGAGAAAAACGTTTCAGACAAAAATTGTAAGGTTTAAAATGATGTGTTTACTGATCTAATAAGTTTGACCTTGGGTGGCGTCATCAAGGCCAGGTCAAGGTCACGTCGATCTTTTTAAATGGAACCCCCTATTTTTCATTACATTTTCTTGTAGCTTACATCGAGACCTTTTCAAAACACTATAATAAAATATTTTTTCATTAAGTATTTTTCGAGTTATAAGGCTTGAAAGTTAAAGTACAGTCGGCATTAGCATTACGCAAGTTGTCCGACCGACGAAAAAATATTTTATGCCCAGAACAACTTTTTCTGTTTATGTTTTGTCGTATTAAGAACAACAAAGATATTTTAAATATTTAAATTGTAGGAAACATTCTGTATATGACATTATAACAACTTTTATTCTGCTGAAATTATATAATAATTAAATTTCCGAATTTATAGGTAAAGCATAGATTAGTTGAAGGAATGGGTAGTACTACGGCTGACGCACTTGGACTATCACGAGCTATCCTTTGTAATGATGCCCTTGTCCAAAGATTAATGATGTTAAAGCGTACAGAAAATTTCTATAGAGGTCTCGTTACACATGCTAAAGCTACATTACATGCTTTTTTCGATCTGATACAAATTTATAAAGGTACAAAAGTTTTGAATAGGTATTGTCAGAAGCTCTGCACAAAATTATTACACAGTATTTACTCATTCAATTGTTTCTTTTCAGTATTCGGGGATGCTTTTGCTGCCATAGGAGTTCGAGAACCGCAGCCACGTGCCAGTGAAGCTTTTAGACAATTTGGAGAGCATCATAGGCAAATGGAAAAGTTTGGAATGATAATGTTAAAAACTCTGAAACCAATATTAAGTGACTTGGGAACATATCTTAACAAGGCCATACCGGATACACGGTTAACCATTAGCAAGTACGCCGATGCAAAATTTGAATATTTATCTTACTGTTTAAAGGTGAAAGAATTAGATGACGAAGAGCAAAGCTGCGTCGCTCTGCAAGAACCTCTTTATCGCGTTGAAACAGGCAATTACGAATATCGTCTGATACTAAGATGTCGGCAAGAAGCTCGTGCAAGATTCGCAAAGCTTCGCTCAGATGTGCTAGTAAAGCTTGAACTGTTGGACAATAAACACGTTCAGGATGTTGTATGGCAGTTGCACAAGTTTGCAGCAGGTCTAGCCAAGTATTATGCCAATACACGGGATTTATTGTCGACAGTAACATTATTCCCGGTTGAAGTCGATTTGTCACATTCCGCATTTCAATACAAATCTACCGGGCCGCAAACTTTAACGGATTTAAGTGAAGATATCGAAGAGTACGAATCGGAAGAAAAACAACAGAACATAAATGAAGAACTTCTCATTGATACATCAAATTTCTCACTGAATTTAACCGATAATACATAGCAATACTTCTTGAGTTTCTAAAGTATTTCGAGATAAGTAAGATTTTTGTTACTATGTACTTATATGTGAGAACTTTGTAATTTAATTTCTGCTTTCAATGCAACTGTGATTATAGAATTAAAATAAGTCATGGGCATGTTATACATACAGAGCGTTTGATAATTATTGAAAGCTCTTGTGCAGACGAAGTGGACTAAATAAACTAAATAAGTAGACCAAATAACTGTGTATAAAAAAGTCCTATACCACATTTCTCTTAATCAAAGGGATGTTAGCGTGACAGCTAAACGCCAGGTCATCGTCTTTTACTAATTCAACGCGATTTGTGGACATACAAAGTAACTGTCTTCGTTGCTTCTTTCGATAACAATCATTACTTTTTTTTGTAATGATATAATGGTTATTATATATTTTTACAGTAACGTAAAATTCATCCCTTTTATCGTTATTTAATCCTTTAATAACTATTCAATAGATCGCATTATTTTTAATTGGTTATAATGTGAATTATAAAGTAGATTTTTAATATTGGCAATAAATATTAGAATGTACTCTTAATAACAACATTAATATTTAAAAACAATGTTTATTAAAAATTTTTAATAAAATTACGTTTGTAAATTACAATATAATTTTCTAACAATAAGCCTTAAATGTAGCGCAACTGGCTTTTTCGATTTCATTGCTGGCCAGTTAATTCAAGGGTGCATCCCTTACCCCGAATCTACAATAGAGTTTTAAGCCATAAGAAATCGACGAATCATAGTCGATTGTTCTCTATGATTATTCTCGGCATCTTTGATCTGGCGCAAACGACCGCCATGATGAAAATTGTGTATGAACACCTATAAGGCCAGAATCAGACTACGCATTGAATATTGAGATTAAAGATTGAAAGATTGAAATTTGACCAATTAAGGGCCATTGTCACCAAGCTCAGTTAACTTAACTGGGCCAATTGATCCATCGGAATTGACCAATCTATCAATTCTTCAAACAAAATGCGATTGGTCAATTCCGATGGACTAACTGGCCTAGTTAGATCAACTGAGCTTGGTGACAGTGACCCTAAGGGCCATTGTCACCAAGCTTCGATTAACTTAGGCCCTTAGATGCTCTACGAATTATTTCATTGGCTACTGAGCATCTAAAGATAAATTTAAGAAAGCCTTAAGTATAAGGTCTGACTATGAATACGGGCATTAGTCGGCCTAGTAACTTTGCAGGCTTCCAACTTAAGCTGATGTCGGAGAATTAATTCAGCTCGCATTAGCTGCGTTCAGTAGACTCAACAGTTTTGCAACCGTTTTATGATTGTGCTGAGATAGGACCATTCTTCTAGATCTAAAAGTATGATTCAATCAGCTCGAAGGAAACTTCCAACAATTGCAAAACGAACGTTCTGCTGAACGCAGCCATTAATTCAGCTCGTATTAATTCTCCGATATCAGCTTAAGTTGGAAGCCTGCAAAGTTACTAGGCCGACTAAGTTAATCAAAGCTTGGTGACAATGGCCCTAAAACAATAGGAACTAAAATTCCTGTGTTCTCACTAGGCAAGTAGGACGGTCTCGAAATAAGAACCGACTATAAATATCGGCCTATCAGATTCTTTGATCTTAGATCCTTCTCTCATAATGGCTGCGTTCAGCAGAAC